TAGTTATGAAAATTCTTGAAAACAAAAGTATTGCCTGATTCTTTGCAATCAGTGTGCCTGTGTAAGCCGATTGACAGGTATTTGTTTTTTATTGTTTCTGAAATAAAATATTTAATTACTTTGTTTCAGGTGATAACAAACATACCAAACGCTAAGCTAGCAGATAGTTGTTTAGGAGTATCATGTGTCATTATTCTTCTAGTATTACGTGTAAGTATTTCTAAACAGGCTTACTTTTATTTATTAAATGTTTCGTAATGAACACCATCATATCATCTCTAATAGTATAAACCTATCAAAAATCCTACTATCTCATTATTCGCAGCTTTGGTCGTTGTTGTTCGTATTACTGGGTGGCCACAGTATACTCGTACTTCTGTACACTTTCTGTGTGTACACTTCTGTACACACACAGAAAGTGTTTCCCCCCTTTCATCCGTATACTTTTGAGTTTAGGGTTCACATAATAACTGCCTGCCCATGTTACTAGAAGGCTTATTAACACTGTCTCCATGAGCGTACTAAGTATAGTATGTTGTAATTGTTCACTGGTCAGATTTTATTACAAAATGTAATTTTACTAAGGTGTACTTAAAGATTTAAAGGAGAACGGCAGATCCTGTACTAGTATATAATATCTAGTAACATATGATCGATGGTTATGAAATTGGTACCGTTCATGAAGTGAGTCATCCTAACTATTTTTATGTAATTATCATATTTTTAGAACTTTGCTAAAAGTAAATATATTCTTCTTAAAGAATTGTTACAACTGCAATAACTAAACGTTGTTAACTAAACGCATTCCTACGTTTTCTAAACTTGCAATGTATAAAATATAAATTACATAACAAAACGATATGCTTACATTGAGATCAATGAATGATAATAATAATATAATAATATCTCACAAATATTATGTGTGATGATGTATGTGTATGTATGTTATCATGATGATGTATTTGGTAATGCTAACAGTCTTTAGTACAACTGCCATCTGAGTCCAGGAATAGCAAGAGACTGATAAATTCTACGGTTGAGCTTATACTAACTAGTATTAAAAAAAAGTATACTGTGGTCTTATAGGCATTTTTATTTGTGAATGTGGAAGTACATAAAACAATAATCCTTACTTCCCTTAGACAAGCCGAGCATGGCCCTTTCGATAGCACGCTGAGCGACTTTAAGCTTGTGAACCAGCCGTACGTGTCCACGTTTCGGCTTCGTATGCCATGACGAGTAGGACGCACTCATTGAAGATCTTCGTCTTAGTTACTGGATCGACAATAACCAGCCTCGATGTAGCTGCCCAACCGAACTGAATTCTTCTATTCACCACGTTGTCGAAGTCGTTGTCCTTTAATATTTTATCATAATTTTACTTCTGTAAAAGAAAACTATGTATGATGTGATTTTTTCATATTTAAGAAGATAACGAATCCAATTTGCTACAACTGTTAATTTATAATTTACCTGCGAAATACACAGTGAGCATTTTACAAGTTTTGCTCTCTGAGAATTCGAGGAGACTTTCGAAATTACTACAACTAAGTTTCAGTAGATCTTTCTTGATGAAAAAGAGATTGTTTCATTTATATTTTATACAACCTCTTACAGTCGGCTAATATTAATCCACATAAAGAGGCATCTAGACGAAGATTATTCAGTGTCCTCGTCATTTGGATAACCCGTACGCCTCGTATACGTTTATGCTGATATAAAATAAAATTAAAGAATTATTTTTCTTGATTGTTTATTTCCTTAAACTCTGAAACTGTCTGTTACATTTTGTTTTATGTCGGATAGAATATTCATTAAGGAATATTGAAATTCATTAAGATTTAAAGATTAATCATGTAAGATATTACTGTAATAAACAGCCAGTATGGTGTGAATGTTTGGTTGAACGTGAAACCATTTGCCATTTTTCTTCGGCAAAGAGTATCTAACATACAAATATACAACCATCCAAAGAAACTCAAAGTGAGAAGTGTCGCTCTTAGAATGTTAAAAAAATAAAATGTAGGTACACGCCTTTATTTTGGAAATTGAAAATAAGTAAACCCGAAAAAATACTGCAAGTATTTATTCAGGTGTACTTATTTTCAATTTATTTCCGAGACATGACAATTTCGATTCCAATTGTAAGACAAGAGAAGTAATTTAGTCATCTACTTGTAGTGTCAATCAATTAAATTGGACTGCAATTGTACCTTGTTAAACATCAAACAGTCTAAATGTGTTTTACCATCACCTAATTCTGAGAGCTCTCCGATTCAGTGGCTTCAGAGCGACTATTCGGTCTTATACTAAGCCATATTGCTTTTAAATTCGAAATAAAGCGACTTCTAATCCGATTAGATTATTTCTAGTTTCAATAAAGTTAATGATTTCACGTTAAATAACGGTCTGAGTGAAACAATCGCTTATGCTCGCATCCGTTCATTCTTTGTGTGTAAACGAAACAATAGTTCCCAGAATACTCATGCTATAACAAGGACCAAGGCGCGTTAGGTGTATAAATTTGTTTGTAGAGATAAATATTTACAAGTTCATGTTTATACCTGTTGATTTCATTTTAAAAAAACTTCCATAATCAGAAAATTAGGGGAAACAATCAACTAAATACTGTATTTAGATACTCAACAAAAAACGTGTTTTATCATTACAACTTTTACATTTACAAATGACAATGTCTATAAGACCACAGTATACTTTAATTTTTTTAACACTAACTGCTGAACCGTAGAATTTATCCATCCCGTGCTATTAATGGGCTCTGATGGCAGTTGGACTAAAGAAAATAACAATTATCCCAATCTGACCTGACTTATAAGTGACCATAATCACTAAAAGTACGAAAATCAGGAGAAACAATCAACTGTTTTTCTGAGATTAATTTATATTTATTATACTGAATTTTGTTACTTAACAAAAATCGCGCTTTATTAACACAACTTCCACATTCACAAATGAAAATGCCTATAAGACCACAGTATACTTTTTTTTTATACTAGTTAGTATAAGCTCAACCGTAGAATTTATCAGTCTCTTGCTATTCCTGGACTCAGATGGCAGTGGTACTAAAGACTGTTAGCATTACCAAATACATCATCATGATCATCTTCCTACCCTTTTCGAAATTTATTCGGATTCTTCGCAATATGTTTTCCCTTTCCTATCATACGATTGTAATTTTTTGTTGACATTGATCATATATGTTGTATAGTTGCAAGCAACCATAGAATACGGTAAATGCCTACCATCAGGAATATGCTTGTTTGCCACCAATGTGGAATGAAAAAAAAATAGGGTGATAGTTACCGGAGTAAACTCCGGAGTATCATTAGGACGGCATCTATTGCCAATAGTCTATAGTCCTGGAATTCAGTTCTATACCAACTTCAGGGCGAAAATCTTTAAAATGTATGAAAATAAAATGCAAATAGTCTATAAAATACCGAAAGTTTCAGGAGAACGAGAAAAACACGTACTGCGCGGCATCATTAAGTTTTAGTTGAATGTTCTCAATAGCTCTAATGAAAGAGCTCTTTCCAGTGAATGTTCTAAGACCAAACCGAACCTCGTATAGGTACTAACTAAATACGGAGGAATAAAAAAAAGTGGGTGAAAATATAAAATATATATACATATATATAGCAGGAAATCGCGTTTCTATACAATTTGAGAAAAGTGAAAGTTTGGTGTTTTACAATGCTTAATGGTATCTTTGCACCTCTTAATAAAAAAATAAGCAAGGCAGGTAGGTAGAATAGGCTCGGTATGGACTTCATTTTTTTGTAACGTTTATGCATGTGATAAAAATATTCCTAGTTTATAGTGTGACACTATAAACTAGGAATATTTTTATTTTGTCTAAAAAAAAATAGTTTAGGCACTTGTGTGTGCACTTTAGTTTCAGCTTGTCTTACGTAAACAAAGATCACATCTGTCAAAATCTTGAGTGAAGATTTCGACATAAACATCGTTCAAAAATTATTATTTCGACGGGATTACTATGTAAATAGTAAGATATTTGTTTTGTTTCAAATACACATAGCAATGTGTAAACTACTCATTTACTGCTAATACAGTTGAGTAAACAAGTGTAATTCATTCTGTGTTAATATGTTATTAAATATCATCATTTCAATCGTCACACACTTTCGTTAATATTAATGTAAAACACATTTTTTTTTGTTTAGTTGTGCCCGTTTTTTTTCAAGCGATTTATTATAAAAAAATAGTGTAAACAGATAACAATGCAAGTAGGAAATCCAAAAAAGATTTGGTTGCATAGTTATCATATCACCAATCCCGTGCCATCATATATGCCCGTGTGGTGACGGATTGAGAATAATATTCATCTCATAGGTATCGTAAGAGCCGCCTAAGAGAGCAAAAGGCAGCACTGCAAAGAGAAGTAAAACTTGAAACAAACCCTATATCCAAACCGTCTGGTCAGCGTGGTATATTAGGTAGGCCAAAACCATGCCATGCACATCGGTTGTAATTCACATAATCATCATCAGCCCTCAATAACCCACTGCTGGACATAGGCCTCTCCTTAGAAAGGAGGTTTTGGCCTACTATGCCACGCTGGCCAAACGGGTTGGTATAGGGTATGTGTCAAGTTTTCCTATTTGCTGGTAAATAAAATAACCCCTTAAAATATTACTCAGTTTTTACTATTACGCGCTGTTCATGGAGCTTTCTGTGAACAAATTATCTCCTGGCGGTATTCAAGGATACAATCTTCAACCTCAACGCACTTATGACTCATGAGTTGCAGGTGTCTATGGGCGGCAGTACTCATTTACCATCAGATGATCTTACTGCTCGTTTGCTTAGAAAAACTAACACAATTTAAGTTGTGTTTTGCAAAAGAAAACAACAAAATGGTCCACATATGACCAAAAAATTATGTTATAACTTCGCAAACTTCCAATATTTATGATTCTACACTTTTTAAAATTCTAATCTTAATTAATATATTGCAGAAAATAAAAGATATCAAACTATCACCAGACCGGAAAGGGTTAAGGAAAACTCTTTGGTTGTTGTCTACGTCGAGGAATGCAATAATTGTGATCAGCTGCTCCGTAATAGCTTTTTTGTTCGAGAAGTACTCCACTCAACCTTTCAAACTCACTGGAGTTGTTAAGTAAGATACTTTTTTAATATTCTTTTAGTTTAATATTATTTATCATCATCATCTGAAGAATGAGCTTCCTCCGGGGTAGAAAGCTTCTTGAATGGCAAGCCTGGAACTGCTACCAAATAGGCAGGCCAGTTCAAGGTGGCAGTCAGATGTAAGTTACTTATGACAACCCATTAGAAACGATTTTGAAGGAGACGATTTTACGACGATTAATCTCTGCATACGTGCCTAAAAAATATCCAATGTGGTCCTAATACAAACAATACAAGCCAAAAATTATTGTAAGTAATAATTACAAGACAACTATTTCTGGAGCACACAAATTTTGGTTCCCTGTGTGAATCAAACCCCCAACGCACGGTGCGACGTAGTGCCAGAGTGACTTGCTATTCTGATTGATCTCCTTGTTGATATTCTCTTTAAACACTTACGCAGTTTTAACTCAAAGAAAACTCCTTCTCCGTTTACCTTGTTGCTGTTTTTGCTGTTTAGCTGTAACAAGAATTGGCTGTTTGTTGCCTAAAAGTCCTTTGCCTTTCATATAATTAATGAGCTAAATATAAATACAAATGAAAAAAACTCACTCACTCAAAAATATGAAGAGTGTATGTGTATATCAATTGTCTACATATACATATGTCTAAACGCTATGAAATATTTATCAATTGTTTAGAACAATTTGCACTCTGAGTAAATAATGATGAAAGACAAAGCCCCATCTCCCCCTCCGAAGTATGTGGGGGCTGGGCTCTAGGAACCTCACTCACTTGGTGAAAATAAACGAAAGAATTGCTTAATACCGGTGTTCTGTGAGGATGAGGATATAACTCCGGTCTAGGGTGCCCATTTGAACCGAAGCATGGCTCTCCCATGGTATCACCGTAAGTTTGATATCTCTTCACAGCAATGAGTAAAGCAGGCAAATGTATAGAAAATAGAATATAATTTAATAGCGATCCGCCCCGGCTTTGCGCGGCTTTGTGATGTCAGTGTAAAGTAATTAGTATTACTATTATTATGTTAGTACTATAATACAAGATATTTTTAAATTCAATATTTATAGGCCCGCTCAAATCCTGCCGGCCGCTGCCACCCGGGACGGACTATGACTCGACGGTCATTGGACCCCTGCATTTTAAACCTCTAATATCACCTACAATATTCATTTTAACGATATTCTGTAAAAGCAATTTTAAATTGCATTAAATACACAACGTATCTATAACGTACCTAATGGCATAAGGAATAATAATGTATTGTTTAAAATAGCTTCGTAAATAACCCATAATTTTTCTGTAAGTAATATTTAAAAGAAAAAAATGTTTTATACATATAAACTTCTTCTTGAATCACTCTATATATTGGTCAAAACCGCATTAAAATCTGTTGCTTAGTTTAAAGGATCTAAGCGTTTGTGTTGTACGCTATGTATGTAAAGCGACTTTATTTTATATTATGTAACAAAGAGTAATAAGTTTTAATGTAAACATTAAAAAAAGTGCTATTTACATATAAAAATTGCAATAAAATTCTAATTACCTAAGTTACGTGAGGTTTGTTAAGAGAGTGCTCGTGTCTGCTCACGGAACTGGAAACAGTAAATTATTAAGAACTGTTTCGGTCAACCGTTTTTAAACTTGACCTACGACATATTCACAATGTCAATGAAGAAATCATTCTGAATTTGAATTTTTTATAATAATTACAGAACATTGTACAGTGAATGCACTGTACAATGTCACTAAAAAATGTTTAGTGGTAGTCAAATCTGCTACTAAAGAAGAAATATACGGTTGCCACTGTTAAGTTTTTTTGAGGAACCAACACTATTTTGTCACACTTGTAACCTAAGATTATTATTTTTAAAGTCTTTAAATAAAATCATGAGACTGGACACTTCTTTGCTAAACGCCGACCATTTTTAACCAATTTTGTCCAAAACAAATATTTTGAGAATAGAAAAACTCTTAAAATTGGGGTTTTATAATTAAATATATAATGGATTATATTATAATTAATTAATCCATGTTTTGTTCATGTAAAATAGCCGATACATACAATCGAAACCCTATCGGTTGTAGAAAAAAAAACGGGTAAGTTGTGTATGAAATGCATGATTTTTACGTAATTCTATTCTTGTAACCCTATGTAACTACATTAATCTATTTGGACATGATGTCTTCATAGTGTATGAAACACCTACAAACACTTTTTGTTACCTACGAACTAACTACACGTTAAGAGTTCACTACATAACACTAAGAGGCATGGTGACCAGTTGGGCTAGGGGTTAATGATCGTAACTGCTGAGCAAGAGTTTGTGGGTAGTCATCATCATCATCAACAGCCTATAACAGTCCACTGCTGGACATAGGCCTCTCCTTGGAAAGGAGGTTTTGGCCTACTATACCACGCTGGCCAGTCGGGTTAATATAGGGTTGATTTCAAGTTTTCCTTCTCTTTGCAGTGCTGTTGTCCTGCGTAGTTTGCTCCCTTAGTCGGCTCTTACGACACCCACGGGATGAATAGGGATGGTGACATTCCGTATTCTTAATCCGTCACCACACGGACTAGTGAGTAGTGTTGGTAGTAGGGGAAAAATAATACCAGGACAAATAATTGTGTGCACGATCATTCTTTCTATTCTGAGTGTAGACTGGCCTACTGGTCGTGTAGTTAAAGTATGTCTGAGTGTAATTTGATCTTTAATCTCTATGTATTTAGAAATAAACAATTATGTAAGGGGTCTGATTACCGTAGTACATGCTCTATATTGTTTGGGATCAGAGAGCGTTGTTCGAGATATTTCAAGTTATTATTACTAAACTGTTTAAAAAATATTAAAAAATATTCATGTTTTTTTTTTACTTCAGAGATGGTCTGCCTTCTTTCCGCCTGCCTCCATTCACGACTGAGCTACCCGACGGCAGACACGTGAGCTTCATAGAGATGTGTTCTGATCTCGGATCTTCCATATTCATAGTGCCTGTTATAGCGGTACTTGGCAATGTTGCCATTGCCAAGGCTTTTGGTAAGTTATTGAGCATAAAATTTAGTATCTAAGACATCTTAGTTATGTGGTCGACAATCTGTTATTCCTCCTTGTAAGTGGGAGCAACGTGTAGGGGAAACTTGTTACCTGCTTAAAATCTTTATAGTATAATAAATATATATTTATGTGCCGATATACCAATCAGACAGAAACAGATGTTGTTGTTGTACAGAAATATATGTTCTATAATAAACTATTTCGTTACAAAAAACGTTACACTTGATACGAGATAACAGTATTGTTCGTTTAAAATGCTCAGTTCATTATGTGCTTGCCTGCTTTTTACATACATTATGACTCATTAACTGTATCCAATGTAAGTAACAGTTTGACTCACATAAAAACATTATTAAATAATGTAGAAGTAAACTCATCAAGATAGTTAACAAGTAGAATTACTAATTCATTGAAATAATTGCATATGCATATAATATATTTAATAAACAAGTATTGTATATTTCCAGTATTAACTTGCTCGATATGAACATGCAACTTAAAGCTGGACTATTTAAAATAAAATTTCGCCTTAAACACCTTCCTAATAGGTAAAACGACTATGATACCCACTGATCACAAAGGCCTCCTATGCCCATAAATACTCGCATATAATTATTCATCTCATATACATATCTATGTCCAGCAGTGGACCGCGATATGCTGATGATGATGACGATACATATCTTTACATACACGATATCTCTACACAATATCTAACCAAGTTCATAAAATTGGTAGGTCCATTAAAAAATGTTCTGTTTTTTATTGCCTTTAAAACCCTTAAAGTGTTATTAATAGCATAGTTCACTAAGTTTGTATGACGTCAAGTGATTAGTAAATTTAAGTATTTTCACCATACATTTAGTACATCCAATACAATTCTCATGTGACAAAAATGTGGCAAAACCAGTTCATATGCTCACATTATTTTCGTTTTATAAACTGGAATCGCTTGTTCTCAATATTGAGCTCTCAATAACACATAAAGGTTTTATGCAACAATGAATTGCAAAAGGTTAACGTGCTTATTAATAAGATTTAAAACCAAGGTGATTTGCTGTACATTAAAATTCAGTGACCAATTTAGAATAAATAGCCTTATTTATTAGTAAAATATATTATATGATAGAAATCTGTTGTTAAAATGGATTGAGATTTATCAAGATTTTTCGATTTATTCATAAATACTAATGGAATTTATGTTTTTTTATTTAACAACTATAATGTTACCCATTTGCTAATTGTATATGCCTTATCTCTAGAAATTAAAACTAATCTCCACTGTCACTTAGACTTGTGGCATTTGAAGATTTAGGCATTTACAAGAAACAGTTCTTTCAAGCCAAGCACGGAGATACTCCCATATTACGTTAATTTACTCACTTTACCCATAGGATACACACGTAACTTTTTTATCAAGGTATAAGCGAAATTTGTAGTAATTTAAATGAAGTAAGTAGGTTGTTGAAGATTTGTAGCTTAATTTACCTTTCTAAAAAAAAGGCGATAGGCCTGTTTTTACAAACTAACTTTATTTCGACTCAAACTCAGAATAGCTTCATTTCAAAAACTTATTAAAAAAATTGTTTGAAATCATCTTAAGACTGAGATCAAAACACACAATAGCAACAATCTGTTTTGTCAAATATTTAGAAAAATGAAGTTAATCCATTATATATCTGTGCTGATCTACATCAGCCCATTTCCAAGCAGTTGAGCCTTATAAGAAGAAAAGGCAAACAAACTCTTTTACAATTACAGCTAGATACAGTCGCATCATTAAATATATCACAACATTGTTGTGATGTGTGCGCTTTATGTGTATATACTCGTATATGTTAGTTGTTAAAACTAAAAGGTAAGAGCAATGAAGTGAAAACAAGATAAAGAGAAAAGATAGAATAGAATTGAAAGTGAAGTAAAACACAAAAAAATGAAAAATAAAAATAAAAATAGTCAAAATGAAAAATAAATAACAAACACACACTACATTTTCACTTAAGAAATAGCCTTTGCTAAATTAATCCCAAGCATTCTTGTCTTCTATATAATCCACAATCGAGTAATAGGCCTTCTGATACAGCCTACGACAGTAAAGCGAAATATTCAACTATTTGAAAAACGATAGACTATAATTTGTTTGACATTGGGAGTGTAACGAAACGTATTTCTCAAACATATCATGTTCGTACCTTTAGAAAATTTTGGATCCATTAAATCACAAAATTCTATAGTATGTATTTGGTTTATTGTTAAATACTATTTATGCATTGATTTAGTATATGTGTCATTCGAATTTGAAAAAATAACTTTTAGTTGGGAAAAAAAATCCGATGGAATAAGTCAGTGAATAGTTTTAAGTGCCAACTAGATATATGGTTAGAAAAGCACAACCCATTGGACTAAACAACCGTTTAATCATGTACACGGGAACTCTTACATCACAAACTTACTTCAGTGCAGTGATGTGGACACATCAGCAAGTTTGCTGCTCGTCCATAATACCCTAATACTCGTAATAATAAATATTTGAAACAAATATTCGATTTAAAAATTAATTATTAATTTAATTTATTAATTAATCTTATTTATATAAATGCTAATCAGGAAATTACAGCACTATGGTATTAAAAATAAACCACTGGAACTTGTTGCTTCATATTTAGGTAGGCGGATTCAAAAAGAAGATATTAATGGTGGACTTACCTCACCTTGTCAAGGACAATCACGAGATTTTGTTGTTTGCAGATGATACGTCACTATTATTTAGACTAAAACGCACACTTACTAATTTCACAGACGTAAACAGCGTGAAAACCACCGTCATGATTAAGGATGTCGAGTTAGACCTTGTGGATACTACGACATTTCTAGGAATAACGCTAGATTCCAAGCTACAGTGGGGCTCACACATTGATAGATTATCGAGTAGACTCAGCTCAGCAGCTTACGCAATAAGAAATATCAGAAAATTGACTGATGTTGATACAACACGACTTGTTTACTTCAGTTATTTTCATGGCATAATGTCTAACAGTATTGTACTGTGGGGGACCAGAGACCCGAGGGACTTCTGTCCATTATCTTCCACTAATTCTATTACCAAAATAAGAGATAGGAAGATCCAAAGCAGTATTCCTTATTTCATAATGTTGCAATTTCCTGATCAATGTTTCATGAAAAACGCAATTGAATGCCTTAGACAAATCACAAAACACACCCAGCGCATCCCTTTTATCCTCCCAAGCTCCGAATATACTTGCCAGAAGTTCCACAACAGCATCACCTCGACCTCTTTTGAAGCTAAATTGTTTCCTGTGTAGAATATTGTTCACACTAAAGTCAGTTTGCAGCTGGTTTAGTATTATTTTCTCAAAATTTTTACTGAAAGTAGGTAACACTGAAATGTGTTTTTTTTAAAAACAACGCCCGCATTAGGAATCAGTCCTGTGTCCCGGGGGACATTACAAACATACATGAAACGGACACAAAGAACACCCAGACTCAGAACAAAAATTTGTGGATCACACAAAGTGTCGTCCCATGTAGGGGTTAAACCCACAACACTCGGCGTAGTAGGAAGCGATGGCGACCACTTACACCACTACGCCACCCGTTCAGTAATGGAATGATCTTACTATGCTTGAAAAAGGAATGATCTTACTATGCTTCATTAAGTCAGGGAATACACATTCATTCATTCAATGCACTTGTTAAAAATTAAGGCCCACTCTGATGCAACTATGCCAATAATTGGCTTTGTTATTTGTACAAAATTACTCCAAAGGTCATAGTGATGACAGAGGTCAGAGACAGAGGTCCGTCCGTGTGGTGTCGGATTAAGAATATATAATGTCACCCCTCCTGTTCATCCCGTGGGTGTCGTAAGAGGCGACTAAGGGGGCAACTACGCAGGACAACAGCACTGCAGAGAGAAGGAAAACTTGACACAAACCCTATACCAAACCGTCTGGTCAGCGTGGCATAGTAGGCTAAAACCTCCTTGCTAAGGAGAGGCCTATGTCCAGCAGTGGACTATTAAAGGCTGTTGATGACGTGACCCCGAAGGTCGGCGGTTTTCTTAACACTAAGAGCATTGAAGGTTTTAACAATATCTCTATCGGTGATACAACTAAATCTAAACTCAGTATGACAAATGTTAATTTTCTCTTTCAATAAAGATTCTGCAATAGTGGGAGAAAAAATTCAATGACCACAGAGTCAAAACTGGAATGTCTATGAATTATTTTCAAAAGCTGTGGCAAAGTCTAAATCGGATTTAATTTCTTTATTATCAATTGAAATGCTGGAATTATTACTTTTGTTCTTTGCTTCTCTAGTTCGTGTATTAATTATTTCCCAGGTCATTCTAATTTTATTTGAACTATTACTAATATTAGATTTTAAGTAATTTGCAGCATGACATATTTTTAGGAAAAATTTGGATATAGTATTTCGTAATTGCTCGAAGGTTGGCACGATATACGTACGCAGTAAAGTTTACGTAATTTAAAGTTATGGTGGGCGAGCATACAACGACGTGCATGTTCAGTACAGTAACGCACGTGCTGTTGGGGTTGCCGTGGAGGTGCAGCGCATCAGGTATATTTGCAGAGGCGCAAGATGACTGCTTTGCAGCCATAATTAGAAAAAGGTGAGCCTCCCTGATGACGCGTCTCCGCGGCAGTAAATACTACATCCTAAGGGTGTTGCTAAATCGGTGGGAGACACCGATGATGCGCCCATGAACGCGGCGATATAATTTTTTATTGTAATTGTAATTATATTTTATACTAACATTAGTATGTAAGCAAATTATTACTAACCGAGTATGAAACATTTGTGAAATGAAATGAAAATGATGAATGAAAGTGTAAAAATATATATGAATTTCAGCCTTGGATAGCGCTATAGATGCTTTTAAATTTCTAAAAATAAAATAAAAACAGTATATCCTCAGGACGCACTGATTTATTTCTTACTTTTTGTGTTTCAGCGAGTGGGCAGTCAGTGGATGCGACTCAGGAGCTCATAACAATATCGTTGGCAAATATTTTCGGCTCATTTGTCGGAGCGATGCCTATTACTGGCTCTTTCTCAAGAAGTGCTGTCAACCATGCCAGCGGAGTTGCAACACAGTTCGGCAGTATATATACAGGTACGTTAAATAGTTGATACATTTTTTTGACTTGGAGATAGTTTTTCACTGTAAAAGAAAATACTTGGGTTTTTTCATAAAATCAGAGACATATACAATTGTTGCCCTTATGATATTTGCGTATTCGATAAAGATACATAAACAAGTTTGCAATGTTGTATGATAAGCAACAACTGACGCTACAATTTTTTTTTTCGTTCGTAATACAGTACATAATGCACAATCGTCATAATAATGTATTGTTGAATGAGTTTTTACTACCTGTTCTACCTTTGTTATGTGTTTAGAACATGTACTACTTGTAGTAAGTAAACAGGATAAATCTATTTATAATTCCCATACATTACCGTACATAATAATTACCAATCGTATACAAATGTAGATGTCATAATATTCATAACAATTAATAACAAAACACAAACGTTCTAAAAGGTACACCTAAATAAGGAAGAAACACATATTTATTTTGCCATTTAATTGTAGGTTCTAATTTTACATTTAGAACTGTAAGGTTTGTGTGTATTTTCGAAGGTGGACAATGGATTATCTACTAACCCCTGCTGTACGTAAAGCAATACGTGTGGGGTTGGCCTCTTCCACATTAATCAGAATTTTCTCTTTCTACTTAGACGTTTTTAAACAGTGCCAGAAGAAAAGAATATATTAGTTTTGATTTTTTTAAAGGATAACCGATTTGATCATAATTCAACAAATTTTATTCAACCGTTCGAAAAGTTATTTTATTTCATTTAAAACTTAATGCACATGTTGTAATAGGCATTAGGCATTAGGCATTCTCTCCCAGTTAACCTTCAGGTGATGTAGAAATATGATACGGTTGGTACTAAAATCATCAGGTCTTTCCTGATGATTTTAGTACCTACCTAATCGTTAAAGAGACTTTTGAGTCGGGACTATTTTTAATTATTTTTGTTCATTGTAAGGACGATTTCATCGATCAACAAAAATAATCGCATAACACACTCAAATTCATATTTAAATGTTTCAGGTGTCTTAGTATTGTTGGCGCTCAGTTTGCTGACACCCTACTTCTATTTTATTCCTAAGGCCTCGCTTGCCGCCGTCGTTATTTGTGCTGTGATATTTATGATAGAATATGAGGTAATAATTTAGTTTATTTGTTAAATACACTTTTATTTAAATAATTGTTATGGTTTAATGTGACATTTACAATCTACGGATTGATCTTTGAATGCTATATTTTATACACGTATTTCATTTGGTCATTTATAGATATGTAGTGTTTATTATTATTTATATGTATCAATATTTCAATTGATAAATTTTTCGCTTATTTTTCACTGAGGGTTTCCATACAATTTATTTATAAAATGTATAATGGAAGACACTTAGAGCTTCTACGCAATCTCGAATTTATTCTTTCATTAGCTTCTGCTCGCGTCTTCGTCCGCGTGTATGTCGGTTATCAATCAAGAATCAAACTATCTCCATATCAAATTTCATCAAAATTGGTTCAGCGTGTATTGATTCCTCATACAAACTTCCAACCCTCTTTTCACCCCCTTAAATGATGATTTCTGGGAAAATCTATCGTATATTCTTTTTCGAAACTCAAACTATATCTAAACCAAATTTCATCTAAATCGGTTCAGTAGTTTAACCGTGAAGAGGTAACAGACAGACAGACATACATTCGCATTTATAATATTAGTTTGGATTAGTACTGATTACTACCCCTCTCCTTGTTTTACAATATTTCCTGACTCGTTTTTTTTAATATGTTTGTTTCTGATAATGTTCTAACTTCTTCACCTGCTATAGAGTAATTATTTTTATTACTTGCAGGTAGTAAAACCAATGTGGCGCTCTCGTCGTGCAGATCTCGTCCCCGCTTTTGCAACGTTCGCCTTGTGCCTGGGAGTAGGCGTCGAACTGGGTATTTTGGCGGGAGTTGCTGTAAACGTCATCTTACTGTTATATCCTAGTGCTAGACCACAGCTAGAAGCTGAAATTATTACGGTAAGCACAATCGAATTACACCACGCTGAAAAATGTGTTGGCTCTCCAAAATTGTTAATAATGGTGGCAGTTTTTATCTCAATATAAGTGAAATAAGTGGTGTCGGGCATTTCCAAATATATAAATTTGTTGTTTTGAGGCGATTATACAAAAGAAGCACCATTTATTTCTTTTTACGAATATTTTAAATGTTTTAGAGATTTAAGATTCTACTTTGAAATTTTTAAATGCTGTGTAACAGTATTTTTTTAGATTAATTTAATGATATTTTTGACCAAAGACTAGACTGCACAGCACTACACACTGCAAATAAGTGTAATCGATTTTGGAAATAATTTGCAGAGCTCTTCGGGCTTCAGCTACGTGATGGTGACTGTGGGAAACAGCCTCTACTTCCCCGGAGTCGAGTACATCAGGCAGTACATAGAACGAGCCGCCAAGAAGCAAGGCGGCTGCAGTATGCCAGTCGTTATTGATTGTCGATATGTACTGGGTATGTTATTACTTGTATTTGTAATTCCTTATTATTATTTTGAAAATCAAATATTCTCTCTAGAATGTCTCTCTGAATGAATTATTTTAATAATACTTTTTATACATGTGTTTAAAGATCGCGTAAGAACATGTCGTATGAAGTGGCTACAATATGATAATATATTCATCACATTTCGTTCAAATAGAAGTAGCCTCTAGTCCGGTGAAAGTGCTTCTATTCAATTTTTCCTTATTTCTAGCCAAGATTTTCACTTTGACAGGCTGTTCCCTGAGGTTGTAATAATCTTTTTTTCATTGAAGTGAAAACTTATATAGGCGCGTTGGGCATTTTTGGCGACAACCAAAATGCTGTATTTTTTGAGATGGGCAAAAACCATGGAACTCGCGACACTGTTACCGTTACCGAGACCTTTGTACATAACTATATACATATATTGGCCCCGTTTACATGAGAGTGAGTTTGGGTTGATATACATTGATAATATAATTATATATAATGTGTGTATGTACGTACAACATAGATATTATATTCATGTCGGAACTTTCCGACTTTTCGCCCATAAAACTTTTTTTTCCTGTTATAATGTTAATTTTTGAGTTTTAACTTCTGTGGGCAATCCCGGAGTGCCACTGTTTTTTTTTTATTGATACTTTTAACCGTTTTACATCGATAATCATTATACTATGTATTGCGTAAACGTAAGTAAGTACGCACTTTTAAGAAAATAATACAATCACCCTAGCCATTGTATCGACGTGTGATCGGAATGCACGTAGTCGGTACGTAGTTGAGTGACGCGGAGGTACGTTCGCAGGCGCGGACTTCACGGCGGCGAAGGGCATCTGCGCGCTGTCGAGCTCGCTGGCGGCGCGCGGCCAGCCGCTCGTGCTGCTGGCGCCGCGCGCCGCCGTCGCCTCCGTCTTCAGCGGCGCCGGCTCCAACGTCGTGCTCGTGCTCGCCCACACCGACCTCGACTCCACCTTGTACGGTAAGGAAATACATACTCTTTGTTCTACCTACTCTTGAACCGACTGAATCCACACGGTATGCCACTGGGAGAGTATATATATAAATAGTAGGAATCAGACGTTATTAAGACATCTAGACCCCTCGGGTACGTTCTTTATCCTCACCGACTTCGGGTACGTTCTCTATTTAGGCGACGCCGCGACGTCTGACTCATCGCGGCTGGTCATTAAGGCTTGTGGTGGAGAAATGACTTCCCCAGCGGCCACACTGTTTATTTCAAGCAAAACGGTATTTCAATTTGCTGCTACTTTCGGACGGGGACGAAAACATTAACTAGCATCACACTGCAGCGGCGTCTATGCATGAACTAACAAAACCTATAACCTCAAAACATAATGTCTTAGAGCTCGAGCGTACATATCTAAGAATTTTTTATAGTCCCTTCTTTACAGTTACCCCAACTTCCTACTAGTAATTACACTTGCACAATGAGTTTATGTAAATGAAATCCTTGAATTTGTTTCGGCATTTCTTCCTAATGTAATTACAAAAGTTAGCCTACACCATTTAGCTTTAAAGTACAAATAGACACGTAAAAATAGATATAAATAAAGTTTTATTTGTAAAAAAAATTCATTTTACGTTGACACTCTCGCGCCATCATCACATCTTTCAAGCACAGCTGGTGCTGCTGCTGAAAACCTCAAACGGCGCAAATCCAGAAATTTAATTGGTAATAAAGGTTTGAACCGTCTGGGGTCGAACGTCATAGGATCTGACTACTTAATACATTTATAAAAAACTAACTAAACGATTGATCCACACTTCTCGTGACGCCTTTAACGTTTGCATATAAACAATTTAATCTTATTATTTTAATTCTACTTAGCATTTAGAAATAAAAAATTTGTTACAGATCTCACTGGTCACATACCTATGGTGATAACGAACAAAGAGCACACACCGCCTCCAAACTACAACTCGTTGAAGCAAAACGACGATGACGTCACAGAAATAGTGATATCAGACGAACAAAATAATATTCCCCTTCTTTATAAGAACGGAACTGACAGGACAATCAACAAGGACACGTGACCGTGTTGTTTACATAGATGAATGTTGTTGTTATTTAAAGTGAGGTTATTATTGCTATAGTAAGTAAGTTTAATGTATGTTCTATATTCTAAATGTGATACCATTAGGATATAGGGATTGTTCCTAACTAAATTGCCTTCTTTATGTTGAAACTGGTCTGGATTATAATGAGAATAAAAAGGAACTATTAAATGCACAAAACAACTGCAACATACATTTAATTGACTTTAATCAATAATATGGGCTTATTAAATACCCATATTCTGCTAAATAGAATTTCGTTCCTACTTAACATTGTCTGTTGTCTGTAAAAAGTCTATTCCGGTTCATTGCACAATAGGAATTATTTAGAGCGTGTTATAGAGCAAAAAAGTATGAAAGAAGGGAAGGCTGGAAAGAAATGTAGCTTGTGAGGAAGGATTGAGGGGTGGGGGAGGTGTAAGCAATAGCTCGAGCACGTCAAGATTATATATCTGTAACGAGAACTGGCTGATGGGGCTTCTCAAAATTCAATTTTTCTAAATCATATGATCTATATGCCATTGTTGCCATACCATACGGTTAACTATTGTTTAGGTTAAGGCTCTGAAACAATTTTTTTTTTAAATCACTTATTTTATTAAACTATTTAATGTAAATTACAAGACGTTTTTAGTTTGTTTTCTTCTCTTATTGTAATAAAAATCGTACGTTTGTCATTATTTCATCTTTCATATCATACCATCAATTCATTATGTTTTTTGTATAATCTACTAGACTTGTTGAAAGTACTGAAGAAAACAACTCATTGGTACAATTTTGGAAATTTATTGCAATTTTATTATTTTGGCTTATGCTTTGGCTTAGGCGATGTTCGTGATTTTACTTAACCAGTGATATCAGATATTGTATAATTTATCTCAGAAAAAAGTGTACAGTAAACGAAAGGTTCCCTTTATTTCCCGTGCGGAACCGCCCGCATCCGACGGCTGCGCTGGTGGAGTGGCGATGTCGGACTCGAACCAACTAAAAACCGCACGCCGTCTCGGGTACTAGTAGCCGGGAAACCAGGTGTAACTTAAGAAGGAAATCCCTGGTACCAGCAAAGGTCCTAGGGGACCTGTTAGTCGTAGGTCATAGGGTCTTACTATTGAGTTTCAGAGACAATATAAAACCTTTACGACATTTTAATATTAGGGAATATATTAGAGATATATTCCCTAATATTAAAATGTCGTAAAGTACCTTACTTAGTAATCTCCAAGAAAAAGTCTGGTTTTAATTTTTAACTTGTTCTCTCTTTGGTCCCTTGGTATGTATTAAAATAATTTCGTTCAAGGATCTTTATTATATAGATATAAATATAAAACTAATTTTGTTTTATTTTCGCCAAAATGTTCGGCTTTAAACACTGCCAGTTATAATATGAACTAAGTTCTCTTCCATCCTTTTACGCATTTGTTTCTCTTAACAAATTCTATTCTGACAACATGTCAATAATATACTTTGAGAGAATCATCTATCTGGCATTACTTAAAATTAAATATTTAATTTATTATTTTTATTTAGATCCGGAAATCAATCTTTACGGTATGTTAATAGTTAAATTGCCAACTTTCTTAAAAATTCTAAATAACCTGTGACAGTAATTGTTAAAAAAAAGTCCTATTAAAAGGGCAGGTGATATATTCAGTAGATGTATTGTTAAAGTATTACATGATTTTATACACATATGTATTTCAGACAACATCTGTCACTAAAAATATTGACATGTAAAAAATCTTCAAATCATAAAGAGTGCTAAAAACATTATGAGTGCTCACCGTGTTGTGGTGATATGGTGCTGGAGCAAGCATTTTTCACGATGGTCCATATCCATAAGGATAGGTAGACTTCTAGAATGAATCGTTCTAGAAGAAGAAGAATGATTCAATCTAGAATTAATCGAGTATGTTTAACGCCATATCCGAAGCCCAAATCGCGTATTCATAGATGTTTGTTGTGTCGCTGCTGTTGGAACTCGGTGAATATTTCTAATTGAAGCGCAATACCTACGTTATTACTGGACTATGTAAATATAAGTGTACGTACAACATTTATATTAGAAATGTAATTTTCAGTGAATAAACTAGTTGTAATGTATATCTATCATCATCATCAGACTATCGCAGTCGACTGCTGGAAATAGGCCTCATCTCTTATGGTTGAGGCTTATATCTATCTACACTTGAAATATTGAAATAATGTATACCTAAAAATAATTAAAAGTATATAGTGCAGTATCAGAGGGCATTAAAGCAGTTATGCAAATAGTAGAATAAGGTCTTACTAATATCGTAAATGCGAAATCTTTTAAACTTGCATATAATTATGTATTACGGGAATTAACGCGCTCACGATAACTATTCATATCTTTGACGTTTCAACAAAGTTTCTCTGGCTGTAGTCACAAGTCACAGTCTGTGACCACGGCCAGTGCAACCCGTGTGTGCTCACCGTAGAATTTAAGTACAGCCCTTTAATTTGCCTAACGTTTCGATCAATTTTTAAAGACCGTCGTCGCAGGCTATGACCTGTGACCACGGCCGGTGAAACCCGTTAACTCCCGTTCCACAATTTTATTTATTTGGTTGTTCGTATGTTGCGTATTCATACCTTAACTACTCAACTGATCATTATGACATTTAGCAGACATGTTATCAGGGTTACAGAAAAGGGCTTTAGGTAAGTTTAATCCCGAAAACCACATACATCCCCGAAACATATAAATTGTTAGGAAAACAAAGTTGTTAGCAAAAACTGTAAAGTACGGTAGTGTGTAAGTCAATATTTTTAATTAGAGTTCAAGTTACAATCTTTAGTCTATTAGTACTATTTCATGGTTTTGCAATGATCGTACAAAAGCAATGTATATTAGTGTTTTTACTAGTAACACATATAAGCGAGTCGGCATTAACCCGCACTGTCGGACGGTATAATCGAATGTATGTAGATAACTTCCTTAAGCCGAGCCGAGCGATAAAAATAGCCGCCTTATATCAGTTGGCTATTGCAAAACCGAATTATGTGCAGCATATTGCTAGACTCACATTGCCGACATATTTATGTGTTGCCAACTTTAATATCTGCAAGATGTTGTGTACGCAGAAACTATATTTTATTGTTCAGGGAAAATGTTTTAGTGTTTCCATTTTGATATTCAAATAGTGATAACATTGTACGTACCGTTTTTATTTTGACAAATTATATTGAATAGTTTTTATTGAAGTAATATATTTGTTTCTTTTTATTTTATTTGTTTTTTTTTTATCTCAGAGTTCTATGTCCAACAGTGGACTTTTAAAGGCTTTTAATGAAATTATTTAACACCTTGTATGTGTTAAAGCACGACAGTAAATATATGAGTTACGAGATAGATGAAATCGATTAAAATTTAAAAGAAAATTATAATTCCCTTCCATATTTTAAATAAGTATGTTTTGTTGCATACTTTTTTATTTTGTTTACGTGTGGAAACCCCTCTACTAATGTAACCTTGTTTTCACTCATTCATTTAAAATCAGTCGGGCTAATGAGCTGATTTATATTTTTCTATTTTTTATTTTTAACAACTTCTTTTTTATTTTGCTAACTACTACTACTACTTACTAATGAACCTACTTTTAATTTTATGCATCTGATAATATTTGATGGTAATATAGCTTACTCTTTATTTATCCACACTATTAAATAGAACATTAGTCATTATTTATCATGAATGTTGTGTTATTCGCAGTGTTAAAATATAATGTTCTGAGTTAACTTTGTGTTTTACACATAATTTAATATGAAAAAAAAATATCAATTTATGCACTATATTAAAACATTTTGTACAATCGAAACTGTTAATGTTGTTTTATTTGAAAATGCACTATCGTAGTAAGTGTATATATGTGTGTGTGTATAAATGTGTGTAATATGATATGTCAAACTAAATCTGACTAAGCTTGTTTTCACCCTTGGCAAGTATGACTGATTATACATTTCAGCGCACGACTGACATTGGCAGAATTGTCGACATATCGGCATCGTTTTCCATAGAGAAAAATAGAATAGAATAGTTTAGTCCTTACTTTTAGCGCCGCAGTCTGCGAGCACTAACATCTCTTATTTCGTTTCTTAACTCTCCATCGTAACTTGATTACCTGGCTCTGTTCCACTTCTTATGCTCCTTTTATTAAATAATGACAAATTTTATGATTTAGTATTATTCTACATTCCCTACCGCTTCATATTTCTACATTACCCGAAGGTCGACTGAGTGAAAATGCCCTGCGCAATAAGTATGCCTGTATACAACTTGTGCAGATAGTGAGGGCTTCACCTCTCCCATGAGCATGTCAGGTCACCATCTCAGGTAAGCAATACCCTCATGCCGCCGCTTATGAATGTCCGACATCATAAGGAAACCGACGGCTGACCACTTCTCCAGGCCTGGTGGATTACTACGGCTATTGTGAAATTGTGATGATTTATTTGAGCATAAAATGTAAGTATTTTGGATGTGTAACATCTTCCTGTACGCTTTCCTTCAATCTGTGGGAGTGATTTTATGTAGAAGACCTGTAAGTGCATGTGATTCTAGAGATGGCGGTCCCATCGTAGATGAGATATCAGATCCTATACGTACATAATATGCGACTACTGTAAGGCTCGCTTGTTTTTTTAATCTTTACCGCAGTGAAGATTTTTGTCGATTGCCGCGGTAGAATTCGTAGTTTCTTACGATTAAAATTCGTGTCGTAACGCTAATAAGGTTGTAAACTCAATAATCTACGACCTTATAAGTGTCAATCCCTTTAGTCTTTACGTCGTAGCACATGTTGTCGCATCATTGTGATGCGTCTCGTTGTCCTAAGACCAATTGAATCACCAGCCGGACGATAGGAAAATGCGTGAGAAACCTAAAATGACTTCTATACTTAGTGGTGAAAAAGTAAACTTTGTACACAGAAAGGTTGTGAAACTTGTCCGCTGAAAAACATTTATATTTCTAAATACATATATATTATAAATGAATTACATCAGACACAGTAATGGCAAATATAATCCGAATCCAAATCGGATTCAAATGCGATGGCAATTATCACAAATCAAATAATTCAGTATATTTACTCTATTAAAGATTATCTTTTAGTGAAAACTTTTTCTTGATATGAATTCGGTTTAAAAAGATTTTAAAATAGAAGGTGGCTTAAGGTATAAAAATAGATTAGGAAAGAATGTTTCCTACATCTGATGGGTTTCACTGAAATATGTACAAGCATACTAAAACTAAGAAATAATTCAGACTTAATCATTTAATTCAAAATAAATAATAAACATATTTAATACCTATGAACTAACCTATACTTTTTTAGCACCATTAAATTACAAATAGTAAATGCATCTCTGACTATTTAGTACAAATAATGAGTATCAAAAATGTTATTAGAACAAAATGGACTAAAATAAAATTAAAATAAACAAGATGACAATCAGTCAATTTGAGTAACCAACAGTTCAAAGGCGTGAGACTGTTTTAAACGTTTGACATACCTATTTCTAAAATAGATAAAAATAAGACTCTCGAATTCCTGAATCCTCGAATTTCTCTTTACGATCAAACACATGAACGTAGCTAAAACATCTGACGAGTCGGCTACCAACATGCAGTTTCTATTATTTCCCATCACCGAAAATCAATGAGCTCTAATATAACATATGTACTTTGCTTCTTATTTTAGATCTATTCTTTGACGAACATGGGCTTAGAAGCTGAAAGAAGTTTCTGGGATACTACATGAGCTATTCTTGCACTGCGTCTCCATACTAGCTCCCTAGTCCTTTCATTATTGCTATCAACGCGAACCTGAGAGAAACAAATAATAAAATTAGTGTTCTATTTCAATATAAGATAATTCAGCAATTTGAAATTTATGTTACCTGTTTGGGCTGAAGGACTTTAATTGTGTGCAGTGAAGCAATTCCTTCATTATTGATCCTCAATGTAAGTTTGCCAACCATTTCGGCGGTCGTGGCTGTAGCTGATCTGATGTCTTTCTTAGCACCACGACCAACCTGACAAAAAAAATAATAGCCAGTTAAATAAAGCTAAAACCGTAATTATTAGGGAATACATATATTCTGAAAATAACCGAACAAAATGACTTTACCTCTTTTTGAACTCTCAAAATCAGAGGACCGACAGCGAAGTTACTCTTAACACTGGTGTAGTTAGACATGATGCTAACGGCGACGTCTCCTGTTCTTCTCAAAGATGATAGACCATAAAGTGTTCCTTTCGCACGAGGCTTGCTTTTCTCTGAAGTTTTCGTCTTATTTTTATTGGTTGAAGGTTTCTTGGTTGTTGTTTTAGTTTTCGATGGTTTAGGTTTAGTTATTTTAGCTGGTGGTTTAGAAACCTTTGTTGGTGGTTTAGTAGCCTTAGTTGGGGGTTTAGTTTTAATTGTTGTTGGCTTTGCTTTATCAATACCAGTCTTATCTTTGTTAGCCCTAGTTTCAACAGCTATGCTTTCTTGGGTCTGTTCAATTATTTCTTCTACGGGTTTAATTTCATTAGTCTGATCCTTCTGTTCTTTGGCTGGTTCGAGCGCTTCAGTTACTGTGCTTTCGTTAATTTTCTCAGTGACGGCACTACCACGAGCTGAGTTTTTCTTTTTGTTGGAAGTTTTCCTAGAATAAACCAATTAAAATAATTTAGTACAGTAGTCCTTCTTTTTCTGAGTCTCCTTCATATTGCAGTAACGAATAATTTAAATTTGTACTATAATTCTGTAAATTAGCCAATTTTGTTTTATACCAGAAAGGTCTTATCAACATATTAAACACTTTTTGAGTTTTCCTTGTTACTCGTACTAACTTGTTGTTGTCTCCAAGTAAAATACCCTGGTACTTTTAAAGGACCATAAACCAAGTGGCAACAAGTCTAAAGAAGGAAAAACTTAATTCCTTAGCTGACATCAGGAGACTTTACACCACGACAACGTTTTGTGATGCCATTAAAACTTAGTTTAGTATCTTTAACCTTAGGTGCCAAGCGGTTTTGTTTTATACCAGAGAGGTGTTATTTGTGCGATCCTTAGATGCTATATTTATAATTTTATAATACTCTAATAGCAGCAGATCACTAAAAACAATACTTAGCTGAGAATAATAGCCAATCACAACATGAACAAGAAAATGTGGTGCTTAAAACATGATTTCTTTTACCTTTTTGGCTTGTTTTTGTTAGTAGTCTTCCGCTTTGTTGTTTTCTTGTTAGCGTCGATAGGTTGCAGTTTAACGCTAACAGGGTCGTATGAAGTTCTCAGTATATCGTTCATCTTCTCGAGAATATTGTCAACAAAGCGATTGTATTTGACTATGTAGATGGCTGGCACTGTTGTTGCATTGGTGGTCGATTCCTCCTTTAGTGCACCTATTAAATGTTGTAAATATATATTATATACTCAATGAATTTGGCTTTAGGTAACACTTTCTAAATAGGTATGTAAATTATTGAATCATTAGCGATCCTACTAAATTGTATTATTACCAACAAGTGGTTCAAATACTTCGACTTGGAATATTGAAATGAAAATATGTAAAACTCTATCAGGTATGCAATCGTTGTAAATTATTTATCATTTCGGGACCGGAAAATAATGAAAATTGGAATCTCCACTTTCTGTAGGAAGAATCCAAACTCCAAGACATATTATTGCAAGATGAAAATCATCACAAATTATTCAAAAGTTTGTTTATCCTATAAAATGTCCCAGTAAAGAGCACCAGCGAGAAGCTGTAATTGTGAACACCAGAGGCAGCGGATCGCAAACAGAGACATCAAGCACTCTCCTGTCCTGCGGTCGTATCAGACACTAAGGAGCTCAGAATAATATCCAACCTCTATAAGCGGTAATACGTTTTGAATGCCTCTCTGATCAGCTGTACTATTCTCTAATAAAACAGCATTGCGTACAGCGCTGCCACAGCGTCGAATTTCAAACGAACTTAGTTTAGTTAAAGCCCCATGAACTCTAAGACGTGGTCGCCTACTGACCAGTCGGCTAAGGTCTGCAGGGATTATCAGAGGCAAGTAAAGAAGAAGAACTTAAGACCTTTCTTTTCAGTTCTGCAATAACCCACTTGCGACAGAACACTGTGGTTTTAGTCAGGTGAAAAATAAAGCAAAGGAGATGGCGGAGCGGGACCTGGAGAGGTTTAGAACTCTCTCGATGCGCGACTCAAAGAATGACCTCCGTCGTCCATAAGGCAGGCCTGGAGGTGGTAGGTGAGGCCATCTGTCACCCTAGCAGAAGCAGACTTTCCACTCATTAACCGTCTTCGTGTGAAAAATAATTTTATAAAATATGCATATTATAATAGGTGTCTAGCGTTCATTTTATATTAACTACATGTTGCATCAAATAAGGAGATACCACGATAGCAAAAGTAATAATTGCCGTGTAGATTAATTGTTGAAGTACACAATATATAATTACCCTACATCATGAAACTCTGGGACATGTTCAAGAAAAATGTGTATAATAATTTCAGTTTGCCAACAAAAGCACCTTTTTCTAAATGTGTTCAATAATGTCATTTTGCCAACAAAAGAAAGGTCAGTGATTTCGGTTTTGATATCACTTATTTAAAAGTAAAAACCTATTATTTTTATCCCTTTTTTAGTTAATCATTTTCATTGGTTTAAATGTATGTAAAAATGATGATGACAATGATGTGATGACGTCTTGAAGGCATCGACATCGACAACAGACGATGACAAATAAAATTAGAAAAAAATATTTTTATCCGATATATGTACACATTGTATACTGGAAAACATTTAACATGTACATGCAAATTTGTTTCTTTGTATTTTACGAAGAAACTTTAAAGTTAATATAAGCTATACAAAAAAAGACCGTCATGGTATTTTTAAAGGTATGCATGCATTTAAGATGTCTTTTAAAATCGTCACGATAATATAAGTTGTCAATACGTAATTTACTAATATTGTCAATTACGTATTTTGATTTGTGCTTGATATATTTTTGAAAATAAATTCATGTATATTAAGAGCTTGTTGTTGAATAGAGAATACAATAAGAATTTAGTAGGCGTTGGAAACTACATGCATCAAACTACACTAAAACGGAAAATGAATTTAAGCGCAGCTTCTTAATTTAACCCTATTTATTATTTGCTACCCTATATCATTCAACTAAATCCCCAGAGAACGCGTGATAGTTATTCAAGTGGAACCCACACCTAATTCTAACCACGTTATGCTGGCATGCCAACTAACTGTATCGGTCTCTCGTAGCCCCACTTGAATTCTAATTGTAGTTCACAATTAATACGTTCAGTCAACGGTGGATTTTCTATTTTCCACACGTAAAAGAAACTGCGTACCGTGCCACGAACATACGTAGAAATCTAATTACAACTTACTTACATACATACGAGTATACACCGCTAGCCCCAGGTGTTTTGAATTCAAATATATAATTGTAATTTTAATAATATTTTTGGTTTGCGACATCTTTAGAATTAAATATCATTTTTATTAAGGTGTATAAGAGAGTCGTAAAGCTGTTTCCGTGAAAGGAAGTAATTTATTTAACGATCATCTTATATGAGGTATGGCAAAAAGCAAGTCGTATACCTAAGACTTCCTTGCGACACACCTAGCGTTTCACTACAGCAAATATTTAAAAGTTTCTCTTTTTGCATCTTATTAAGTATGTCGTTTTCACTGTTACCTGTACCGAACGTTGGGTACATAAATTTTATAGTTTCGTCACCAAGTGAGAGTAAACATTAAGTTCCATTTACTTTCTATCTGCTGTTTTACAATAATACTCGAATATTCGTCAAGGTCAGTCCTGGGCGTGGTTAGAGCAAGGTCAAAGAAAGTGTCAAGGTTGTAGAAGAAATCGGGCGGGTTCATCGCTCGAGCTCCGGTTGAGAAAGTAAGCGGACGGTGGACGGCCGACCTCGTAACACACATACTCTTGCGACTAGTTCCTTGTTGAGCGCCTGTGCAATACGCCGCACAGCCTGTATCCTGGCCGCCTTTCTTTTGTCTGTACTAGAACCCATATCTTTTAATTGCATCTGAGTCGTGATACTTTTATAATTATAAATATTGGTCCGACCGTTACTTCGATAAGGATAGGGAATGGAGATATTCAGGTCAAGCGATATTGTGCGTTATACTACATACATAAATCGGTCAAAAGGCTAGTTAATTATATCTATGGTTTAAATTCTACATAAAATACTGTTATTTTAATGTACTATAGAAATAATATATAGAGGATTATGTATACTATCGAGATAGGCTGATAAATATACGTTACGGTAATGGATTAGGGTTTTGGGTGATATAAATAGGTAAAGTTGACTAGCATATACATTTATTATTACAATCAAAATTAAATTAATATAACTAGATAATGTCACTCGATTAGTTGACACCGAGATAGATTAGGCAACTAGTTTTCTGACCGATGTACGACAAAATAAAATTCATGTACAGCATTATATATGTATGTCTTATGATGTGTACAATTTTACGCACATATCGTCGTGAAGGTGAGATAAAAAATTTCACACATAAATTAGTACAACAGATTTATTTCAAATAATTTGCCACGAGACCAGTGTGACATGATCTAGACATTAATTTAACTTTTAACCTTCTCGGTACCATACTTACACTTTCACACATCAGTCACACGCCACTTAATAAATAAAATAAATAGAATAAATAAATAGTCAATAAATAGCTAGGCTAAGGGATGGGACCATGCAGGTCTCTCAGGTGGATGAAGGGCTGGCTCACCCGGAGCTCGGCGCCGCCTACTCACTATCTGAACTTTTTGTGCTCAGGGGCGACTGCCGCGGCGGATGTCACTTTAATTTTCTTTACTTTACCGAGGTGGTTTGCCTTTTTTGCCGCCTTTTTTGCATACACCGCGACGCTCGCTTTCAGCTTTTTTGACTCACGTGAGTTCTTATTCCTGCCGAGCGCATCACTGAGGTCATCATCATCATCGTCGTCGTCGTCATCCTCTGCCTCGTCGTCATCATCATCGTCGTCAGCGTCCAGCGCCGAGTCGATGTCATCGTCGTCGTCGTCATCTTCCTCAGCTTCAGCCTCAACTTCAGCAACTGCCTCAGAACTGGCTGGACTCTCTACTTCAGCGCTAGCGGGCTCCTTTTGTACACCCTCGGCCTCTTCACTTATTCCAGATACTTCGCCCTCTTCATTGGCAGCTTCGTCACCTTCAGGCACGACTTCTTCAGCTGAGAGGGGAGCAGCAGGCGCGGCAGCGACTGTGTCGGCAGCAGCAACTACTGGTTTTACGACTGCTGACGCAGGCTCATCGTCATCATCATCGTCTTCTGTAGGATTTAAATTTCGTGTTTAGTGAAATACTGAATTTTAATGCTAAATTATAAAAGTTGAAATTAATAATTCTTACCTCCTCCTCCTAAGATGTCGTCAAAGAATCTTTCGAGATAATCGTCAGAATCGTCATCATCTGCTTCTTCTTCATCATCGTCATCATCGTCATCGTCATCATCTAATAACAAAAATGAAAATAAAATCAAAACAGAGGTTATTGAACTGAGTAGTATACCTTAATACCTTACACTTTCCTAACTGTGTATTCAGTGCAATAGCTTTTTATTAGCACTCTTGACACCTTGTTCGTAAAAAAACTGTGAAACGGACAGTTAATCAATGTTATACGCCGCTATCTTTAGATGCGTGAGATTCTAAGCGAGGCTTTCATAGCTAGAAAGCAGGGAACCGACAATTTCTCTGATTGAGTCTTTCTGTTTGAATTAATTAACGATTGAGAGCGCCTGTCACGCTGCTCGCATTCCGTGTTAGTTCCGCCACGTCCTGATTCTAAGGAATTTTGATCGATAAAATGTTAAATTTTTACTGTAGCAGTATGTGCAGTCCATGCCATTCATAAATTATATTTAAGAGCTAAGATACTGTTGACTCTAGCAAAAAATACTTTTAATATCTACTGACAATATAGAGTTACAGTCAAGTCATAAAGACATCTTGGTTATCACGTACAAGATATTATTTAGTAGTAATTACTACATTAATATTTGTTATTAGAGCAGTAATGAAGATTCATAAAGATGCCCACTATTTTATATAAAAAAATGTAAAGTTAGTATTAATAAACATTAATGTATCTTGACGTTTTATGCACATAAGTTATTGCATTCTGAAGTCGTAAATTACAGATGCAATAAGTGTTCATTTGAACACTTATTGCGCTTTAACATTCTTATGTTTGAATGCTTTAACGTAATTGATGTTTTATTCTTAAAGATTAATTGAATTAAATTATATAATCATCCACTACTGTTATCCACTTATCCACTACTGTTAGCAGAAAGTATTTGAGCGCATGCAGCGAGAAATATTTATATTCCACATACCGCTATAATTCCTGTTTGTTTGAAAGGTAAAATTCATGAAGTTATTATCCTTTTCACATTTTGTGTGATCATGCTAAATAATATTTCATTTGGAAGGCATAGTGACTATATTACGAAACTAATAAATTTCTCTTTTCTTCTTTTTAGTGTTGTGATCCTCCAAAATACTGCAATTTATTTTGTCTTAAAAAATAAAAATAAGTGCAACAAGCATAATTAACTTACCCGATAAAGCTGCTAAGGGCTCATCATCATCATCATCATCATCATCATCGTCGTCGTCGTCGTCATCGTCATCTGAAGATGCAGCTGGTGCAGCGGCGGGGACTGCTGCGGCCTGCCTTCCAACGTCTTTAACATCTGTGTCATCCTCCGAGCGAGCGATAGGGCTAGCGTAAACAGATAATACTAAACAGCACACAGCCGCTAACAAGAACAACGACCTCATCTTGAATCTGAAACAAACACACACCTTTAATTATTTCACCGGGAGCATCGCGACCGCGACAGTGACGACTCAACCCACCACCGGACCCACCACTGTTGCTATCACGATATCACAACACTATCACAAGAACACAATCACATGCACTAATTTCCTTGACACTTCACCTTTTGACGAACTGTCTATCACTGTTGAGTCCTTGAGTCCGTGTGGGCTCTAGCGGAAGAGGTTCCGCTCACGTCCTTCTTTACCGGTGTTTGGGACGCTATGTCCGAGCGTGGCGTACGGAAACGGTATAGCGGCGGCGTCTTCACCGCACACTCTTTTATAGAGTTACGTCACACACGCAGTGAAGGAAAGTAGTGATGGTAGCCGCCGTTGACACAGATCAATGACTACACAGAGGCAAACAGCAGATATCCCCTTTATACCTATCGATTTCAATGACATCCAGATAAAAAATGTTGTAGTCGTACCGATTTATAAAGACATATATTCCCACTTTCCTTAACTCAAGTTGTATATCTAAAGGTCAAAAGCAATTGATAATCACAAGTGTAATAAGGGCTAATCATGACTTACGTATTTATTTAATTACTAAAATTAAATGATCTTTTACTTTATAAGTACTTTTTATTTTACTTTTACTTTATAATAATATACTTAATATTTAAATATGCATTATATCTCTTTGATATCCTATCAAATATGGGTTTTGTTTACTTTGAAATAATTCTAAAAACTTAATTATGTATTTAGCAACTTTTACGCCAAATATTTCAGTGAAACATGTTTCCCATTTAGCGAATGATTAGTCACTTAAGCTTTCACTTATTCATAATGCAATTCAGAAAGGCGGAAAATATATAACAAACAAGAATTTGTTAGTAAAATCTGATTTTATTTAATCTGTGGCATATAAAGAGGGGTTAGTTAGGTCTGACTAATTAATTTATTCAGGTTATTTACTGACTATTCGTGTCTCATTGGAGAAATGTTGGAGCGGCCTGTATTGTGTCAGAATCTTAAAGTATTTTGAACATTAGTATGAGGGAGCCGGCCCACACTTTCACTTAAGGTTATGTATGTAAACGCGCTTTAAGTGCTATTGATAACGTGACGTAAAAACGAAAACGTGGACTTTAGGTATTACCACAAATATTTTTATACGTATGAGTTAAAACATTTGCTGAAAATTTCGGCAAGAAGAAAGTTCACTTTTATGAGTATTTATAAATCTTATCACTGATATTTATTTATTTACCCCCTGAATTTACTCGCGGTGAAGTTAGTTTGGAAATATTTATGTGTTTGTCCTTCAACGACATTACCTATTTTCTAACTGAAAGGTATTTTATTTACTTTTCTGTACCCCGACCTTCATCTTTTTTAATAATAGTTAACATACAATTAATGCAGGTGACAACCTAATTTTTTAATAAGCTATAATGTTACTGACCATTTAGGGCATGAACTTATCTAGTTTGCAATTTTTTAAAACAGGTATTGCATACTTGTAGTTAAATACTGTGTCACTTAACTTTACATGTATGCTACTTTATAACTACTATATATTTTTTTCTTAAAAATTCAATCTCATTTTGAGTCAACAAAGTGTGATAATAAAGACATACCTATTAGGGATTAAAGTATGTAATTGTCGACTTGTACTGAAAAATTGAAACTCGTTTTTTTTAAGATGTTACATATTTATTTAAACAAAATGCTTACCCTCATTATCTATTCATTGCTGCCATCTAAACGGAAGTTAAATTATGCCTTTACGATAGAACTCTGGGGATCTAGATTCGACAAACTGTGTGAAAGCATTCTATAGTAAACGGGAAGATTTTTTTTTAATCACGAAAAAAATGGTAGTCGTTTGGAGTAAGGTCTGGCGAGTACGGAGGATGACGTATGGTTTCTAACTGCAGCTCCTGTAGAGTTACATCGGTTTTTCGTATAGTGTGGGTTTTTTCGTTATCATGGACCAATAATGGCGAAGATCGATTCACGAGTCCGAGCTGTTCCACTGCCAGTTTCGCCATCATTGTTTGAAGATCGGCACAGTAAACATCTGCTGTTATTGCCTGACTATACCTGAGAAAGCTGTAGTGAATAACACCATGAAGAAACCACCAAACAGTTACCATTACCTTTTTTGGTAAGCTTTGCTTTAGGGCACTGTTGCGGCGTTTGACCTCTGGTCAGCAATTGCATTCGCTTACGGTTATCGTTAACAATCCACTTTTCGTCACGTCACAATTAGATCCAATATGCCTTCATTTCTGTGCCGATTCAACAAGGCAACACAAGTTTCAAGACCCATTTCTTTCTGCAGATCAGTCAAATCATGAGGCACCCATTTTTCATTTTTTTTATCTTATTGATTCGATGCAAATGAATGACCTACAACGTAGGGTAACGTTAAACCATGCCGCTAATTCCTGGGTAGTTTGACTCGAATCGGCTTCCAACATCTCCTTCAATTCAGCGTTATTCTCATGTCTCGTCTTTCACGTGGTTCCTTCTTCAAGTCGAAGTTTCTATTACGAAAGCGTTTCAACCAAAAACACACGGTACGTTCATCTCTACTCTCTCCTCTCCAAACGCAGCGTTGATATTGCGAGCCGTTTTTGCCGCGTTAGTTCCGCGTCGGAACTCATATTAAAAAATGACTTCGATTTTCGAAGTATCCATCTTTCAAGTCTACGCTGAATTAAGAAAAAACAATTGAAAGTCGAAAATCGAATGTTGCATAAAATAATGTAGAAGGTTTAATGTAGCATAAAATAATAGAATATCTTTACAAAGTACTTGTAACTAAAATAATTTTAAGAGCTAAGGAATTAATAGTTTAAATCAAGTAAGTCACGATCTGAGGCAAACATTGTTGTCAAGTAGAAGCGTCGAGTCACGACGACCTATACAAGATTTGTCAACACTAGAAAGTTTAGGAAGTTCTAAGAAAGAGAAGAGATTGAGAGTTAATCTAAACAGAAACAGGTGTTGTAAGTAAACGATTGCGCAGGCTTTTATTTCCATTTAATCATTTTAACTGATGATAATTTCAAAAATATTCTGTCTGTTTTTACCAGGAATCATTATTTTATATTAAAAAAAAATATTTCAATACATTTTATTTCAATATAGTTCTATTTATCTTTGATACAAAGTAGTAGCCATCCAGCTTAAAGAAACTGTACTATACATATCGTCCGGCCCGATTGGAGGTCTTTTGGCTTGGGACGATTCGAGTCGATATGTCGATGCCTAGGATTCCGATACTGGCTGAGGCAACTAGGGAGGTGCTCTCAAACCGAGGTGATACGACAAACAGTATCTTCTTTGCGGTGAACGAAACCTGTGTCTTTTTTTGGGTTAAAGTGGACTGAATTCACTACGGACTTTACTTGCATGATGTTAACGAAAAATCACCATAAAATTATTCATGCATTTCTAAAATAAAAAGCCAAACCTACATCACTCTTCGCCTGTAAAAAAACATTCATGCCCATGTAAGACGAAAATAAAATATCAGATATGCAAACAAATTTTGGAAGTGTATTTACTTCTTACTATCATCAACAGCCTTTAATAGTCCACTGCTTTTGGCCTACTGTACCACGCTGGCCAGACTTACTATGATGTCGAAATAAATCTTTGTGTATTCATGTGGATTAGACGACAATACCATAACTTGAAATAATCTAACTGATCTGGTAATGGATCCAGGAGATGGTGGAACTCTTTAATTTGACAAGTTCAACAGGTCAACTTCGGAGGTATGGTCTGTTGATCCAGTTATGATAGTGGAACTTTTTGAAGGTTACAATCCTTCACGTAAAACGAAGTTTTTTTTCTAGTTTAGCCCAAAATTACTAAACTAAACTAAATAGTTAGAGAAAATCTATTACGGTATTTTTCTGTGGTATAGGGAGGAGGCAGAGGAGTAGGCGAGTCGCCTGATGGTAAGTGGCTGCCGCCGCCCATGGGTACCAGCAACTCAAGAGTCACAAGTGCGTCGCAGCCATTTGAACCCCCCCCCCCTCTCCCTCAGAACTAGGAGAGGAGGCTCGGGGTTCGAGGTTGTACACTCACTCACTCGGTAAAAACCACTTGCTTAGAACTTCCTAAAGCTACTTGGAGAGTTTAGTACTAAGGATTTTGTATTTAATGAAATCTTTTATAAATACGACAGAGATGAAATTATATTATCATTTGTTTACAATGAAAAACTATATTATTCGACTGCGCGGATGGCGTAGTGGTTTAAGCGGTCGCCACGCCGCTTCCTACTGTGTTGTGGGTTCGATCCCCACATAGAACACCACTTTCTGTGATCCACTCATTGTTGTTCTGAGTCTGGGTGTTCTTTGTGTTCCTTTCATGTATGTTTGTAAAGTCCCCTGCGACACAGGAATATATATTCATGCGGGAGATTCAAGAGAGCGTGCTCCCACACGTTCTTGGTCGGTTGTTTCTTTTTTTTTCACTTTTTAATTCGATTTGCCAAAAAAGCGTGTTTTTTAGTATTTCTAAACTAAAATTAATTAACAAAATCGTAAAAAACTTTCAAAAGAAAGGCAGTTTGTTAGCTTTGTAAATAGTGTTAATTATTCATCACTTAGTAAAAAACTAACTCTCTATATACGACACCAAGTTCATTTATGCCTGTAAATGTATTACAGTAATGTTAAAAATTAACCACCTTTATTTCTTTTGCACAAATACAATATAAAATAGAAGAATCGCATTGAGTTTTCACCGTCTGACTCTTTCTCTCAGGGTCAAGGAGCTGAGTCGCTGGAGGGATTCCAGTACCGAGGGCTCATGTCGGAGGACATTGTATTCAACATTATGGCATGGGCTTCAAAAAGGTGATACCTACCCAGGAGGGTTCCGGAGCTTAGGCTCGCCGTGGTGGAGGCCGGGGGCTTCTCCCTGGACTACGTGAAGGCCGGAGCAATACGAAGCCTTCAGTTGTCAGTGGCAGCGCTTGT